TTGTCTGGATGCCTCACCATCCCTAGCTTTCTCCTCTGGGGACTTCAGGAGACACCAACAGCACCGGAGTCCCCATGAGCAGGCAGGGCATCCATCTAGGAACTCTTGCTGCCCCCATGTGTCCACAGTGACGTGTGAGCTCTAGGGCTCTAGGTTCAGAACTGTACAGAACAGGCTGCAGTGCCTGCTATGTCAGAGGGGGCAGGGTTGGCTCTGGGGGACCACGTCTGACCCCCACAGCCAGCTGCTTCATCTCCACCATCAAGCCCAAGGCCCAGAGTGGGAGGGTAGGGCTCATGGAGTCAGCTCACGCTCAAGCACCCCGGTCTTGAGAAGAAACACACCCATGTGTACAGAGGAGGGGCGCAGGGCCGGGGTAGGGCACTGGATGCTCAAGTGTCCCTGGGTCCACCTTGTTCTTTACTGAGGAGCCCCAGTCCCAGGGTTCAGCTCCCAACCATTCATTTCCAGCCTCACCTACTGAAGGTGGAAACAACCTGGCTCTCAGTAGAACTCACCATTTTCTCGTTTGGCTTTCCAGAGGCCTCTGGGACAATTGTCTCTAAGTCCAAGCAGCCGCTTCAGCAGCAGGGATGGGGGTGGGTACAAAGCACTGGGCTGTTGGAAGCAGATGAACAGCGTTTGGTCCACACAGCCGTCAGAGCCGCTGAAATCCTTGCAGGGACTGCACCACACTGGAGCCTGACTGGGAGGAAAGACCGTTGTTAGCAGATTCTGACAGGTTTATGGCTCCCTCCCAGGCACAGGACGGAGCCTGAGCGCCTTGGAACTTAGAGCAGAGCAGGCCGGCTCTAGCCTCTGAGCCCACACCTGCATTCACCTGGGACTCTTCTTCTTAGCGACAAGACTATTCTGTCAGTGCCATCCGATCAGTACAGGCTCAGAGCGACTCCACAGGGCAGGGTAGAACTGCGCCAGGGAGTTTCTGAGACTGATCCTCTTTACAGGAGCAGAAAGCCCCGTCTTTCTCCCGCGGGGCTGCTGGTGGTTTTGAACTGCTGACCTTGTGGATCGCAGTCCATGCATAACCACCAGGCTCCAACTAGACGACAGAGGGAGGGATTTACTCATCCGGCAGCATGAGAAGCAATCATGCCAGGCCGGACACCTTGAATCAGACTTCCTTCTGAGCCAGTGGCCCCTGCTCAAGCTGTGGGCTCACCTACGTAGCTCTGTTTCTCGTCTGACATTTACATGGGCGAGTTTTCCAGAAGAACGTGTTTGTCAAAATCTGCCAAGGAATGGATCGCATTTCGTTCCTTTTTAAGTATGTGCTGCTAAACACGCTATCGGTCTTTGTTTCCCACTTCGCTTATAGCACATCTGTCATATCAGTAGGAGGGCCTGTAACGACACGGACTGGCACTGTGGCTTCAAGAATGGGCTCAAACACAGCCACGACTGACTGTGCGGACGTGGATGGCACCGACCCGGGCGGGGCTGGGTTGTCACGTACACACTGTGGATACGTGCTGGAACCAACTCGAGGGCACCCGGCAGCAGTGAGAGCTTTCGGTTCCTTTGACAATGAACATGTCTTTCTTTACCGTGAGCCCTCTCTCCCCGGCGTCTCAAACCACACCACCACAGT